CTTAAACCCTAAACCCTGAAACCCTAAGCCTTAAACCCCAAACTCTGAAACCCTACGCCTTAAACCCTAAACCCTAAACCCTAAACCCTAAACCCTAAACCCAAAACCCTAAACCCTAAACCCTAAAACCCTAATTCGGAGGTGGCCGAAGCTGCCGTTCATCCTTCGCCAGGGGCAGCTGCGATCGGGGCCTCGGGAGGCCGGGGGCCATCGAGGCGGGGCCGTGCGGGTTTAGGGTTTAGGGTTCGGGGGGATCCCTTCTAAGGGCTCCTTATTTAAGGGATTCCTAATTAGGGGTTCCTGTCAGGGGTTTAGGGTTAGGGTTGCTTTGCTTTTGGCACAGCTACCACCAATCTAGGGTTTTTCTTGGGTTTAGGGTTTTTGTTTCTTGTTTTTGGTTCCGGTTCGGGGCTTCGGGAAGTTTATACTTAGCTTTAAAGGTGTCCAAGGCCATAAGGACCCTACTATTTAGGGCCTCCTAGGGCCATTCTTGTCGATTCGCTTTCATGTTTTATGGGCGCTTACTGATTTCGTGCAAGGTTTGGTAGGGTCAGGGGATTGGTCATTGAAGGGTTAGTTGGGCGACGGATTGAGGTTCAGATAGAGGCTTCTAGGGTTCTAAACCCTAGTGTTCGTGCTTCTAGCATGCAGGGTTTATTCTAGGGGTTTTGTTCACGTGTGCCCGCTCTATGATCGCTTCGCAATATTCAGCCACCACCCCGGATTAGGCCATCAGGCTCTTGACGATGTCGGTTGTGAAGTGAAGCCCAAAGCCTCAAACTCTGCTTGAACCACCTTTATCCAGAAATCGTAAACCGTAAACCATTCATCCATACCCTGCAATGCGGGCTCGTCCTTGCTAAGTAGGAGGGAAGAACCATTCATCCCCCCACCCCTGCACGTCAGAACCAATGGCAAAAGCCCGATGAACCCAGGGCACCTAGTAAAGCAAACATATAACAACCCTCCCAGGAGTCCTAGGAGTCCTAGACCTTAAACCGAATGCCCTAAACCTACTTTGCCAAGCACGGCATTTCGCGGAACACTTCGAAGGACATGTCTCCAGTGGAGTCAACCCTAAACCCTAAACCCGAAACCCTAAAAACAAATGCTCGACGCAGGCGTCTGGAGCTCTCCGAGTTTCAAGGTCGCCGCGGCTTGGATGTCGTTTGATTCCTAGAGTCCCGGGCTTCAGGGTGCAGAGTTTAGGGTTTAGGGTTTAGGGTTTAGGGTTTATTTAAGGTTCAGCAAAAAGTAGAAAAAGGGTTTGGTTGGATTCATGGTTCAAGGCGTAAGGGCATAAGGGTGCCATGGAGATTGATTTGCGCGACTTGGCTTTTGGCTTTCCACGGGTTCAAAGAGCCCTTTCCGTGCGAGAAAAAGTTGGTGTGCTGGGTTTCAAGGCTGTTTGGAGTTGCCAGACCCTGCGACTTGGCGTTTCTTGCGCGAACCGGTCCGCACTCGAGGAATCCTACAGAAGCACGCTTTTATGTGATTTTTTCTGGGGGCTCTAGCGCATTGGTCGAGTATTGGAGTCTTATCGGGGTTTGTCGTGCGTCAGATTCATACTTGGGAGCAAGCTAGAGGTAAAGTATCGTCAGGAGGAGAGCAGGATCTTTGGACTACCGCAAGCTGTTGGGATCGAGAGTCATACAGTCAACAGTTTTTCATCGGCACCGTTGAAACCGGCGTTTCTTTCGTCCCCACAAAGCCCATGGTAACATGGGTGGCCCATCGGCCCGGGAGGCTTCATACGCCTCCCATGCCCAGGAGAGGGAGAGATAGAGAGAGAGAGAGAGAGTACCCTCATCTTGATGATTGCCAGCAAATCGCCTGCAGCCCCTGACACTAGAATTTGACTTGGGAGCCCAACCGCTGAAACCTGAAGGCCGCACGGCCCCAAAACCCTAGACCCAGGAGCGAAACCTTGAACACTGAGACCGAACCTGAACCCCCCAGCCAACCCTAAACCCAGATAAGCCCAGGCACTTGATTCCTAAGACCCCGAACCCTAAACCCTAAAACCCCTAACCCCTAA